TTTAATGGTCAGTTTTATACGTATAATTTTCGGCAATACACAATTTTTGTTTGCATTTATGCAAATATTACGTATTTTGCTTTAAATAGGTGCGATATCCCAAAAAATGTTCGCGCCTCCGGCGGGCTTTTCTGTGTGTATATAGCTTCATGACTTCAGCCTCCCCTGTTCTCCAATGCACGAGCCGTCACTGACTTTCAAGTTTCAGGTCTTCACTTTTTAGACTGGGATCCTGAATATTTATATTAACAAGAAGTTGACAAATCAAACTCAGCAGAGAATATTCATTATCCTTTTTTGGAGTTGAAAGTTTTTCCATTTGAAAAATATTACTGCTGTAACAATTTTATAATATATTTTACTTCTTTTAAGGAATCACCAGTATCTAAGTTCTTGCCTAGAAGGGAATCATCCGGAGGTTCAGCGCGGGAAGCTGAATCAGATGAGGACAGCATAGCCGACTTACCATTGAATCTTGTCTCAACGCAAATGACTGAAGGAGAGTTGCTCTAACAATAAACTACATTAACAAGAAACTCTTCCCTCCCAGATAATGTATTCTGAAAAATACCCAGTGATAGCATCTATACTTAATAGTATCAGATTTGTACTACAGTGTTAAATTTTTTTACAAAATATGCTCTCTTGCTTGGGATTTTTAACTTGTACTTATACGAAAATACTCATTTTGTAGCGAATCTTTCATAAGTTTTTACTGTTTTTGTGTTTTCTAAGGAGTCCAATTGTGATATTTTTCATAAGCTTTTTACTTCCGTTTTTACAAAAGTTGAATATAGAACATAACCAAACTTTTGCTTATGCCAGTAGTACCATTTACCTTAGTATTCACTATATTTTTTGTATAGATTGAGAATGGACAAAACTTTTATATCGATTTGATAGTATTTAAATAACCAATAATAACAAAGAAGATGATTCTGAAGGATGAGTGACAAGATAAAAAATATTAAAATAAAAAGAATTCTACAGCCAACTTATGAAAGTATTGATATGTTGTTGCCTTCATACTTTATATCATGAAACTGTTATCCATTACTAATATTTGATGACATGGATATTGAGCTAGATGGGCTTTAAATTTATTTATTGAACAAACTTTTATTTGTGGTAAATATTTGTTTTGCCCAGATCGGAACATTTTGAAAATATTTTTGTTTGTATTCGAATAAAATAATGGGTAGAACACGATTCTGAAATCAAAACGCGCAGTCTCCCTTGGTTCGGAAATTATGTCCCATCAAAGGGTAAAAGATCCACTGTCTATTGTTCACAAAAAAATTATATACACATGATTTTATTTACCACGTCTAGTATATACATTAATCTACCTTGCTTTATACTTTTTTAGTCACAAATTTACCCTTTCCTTGAAAAAATATATTGTTAGAACTGTTTCCTGGTGAATTTTCGATCTGAATTTTATCAGTGGAATCAGAAAACAGCTCTAATAAAAATATATTTTTCTGTGAATAAAATCATGTGTATTTCAATGGTTTCCTTGTGCCAAAAAAAGGTGGATTTTTTAATAAATTGATGGATTTAGCCGTTACTACGTGGTAGGAGATCATAATGAAAAA